CTAAATTGGTGTAGCAGCGCGGTTTAGCAGCCGCGGTGCAGTATAGGTCTAAACACTTTGTACCTAACTCCAACAACAACAGGTCCCTCAATGGTTGAAGTCGACTCGACTCCCTTGGCCGAAGTGACCAACGCAATGGTCAAGACGGGCCTTCTGCCCATCACCCAGGCTGGTAAGTCAACTCATCTTACATCATCATATCAACATCACATTTTCTTTTGCCTGATTGACTTACTTTGATTCTGATCACTATTTAGAACCCCTGGCAGCAGTTCTGCTGCCAGAGATCAGGCAACTCCTTGTGGAATTGCGTGAGACTCGAGCGGAGACCCAAGCCCATCAGGTCGAAACCCGTGCAAACAATCGAGTGGTTATGACCCGACTTGCTGCAATCGACACCCGACTTGGGGCCATTGACACCCGACTTGGGGCCATCGACACCCGACTTGGGGCCATCGACACCCGACTTGCGGCCATCGACACCCGATTTGAGGGTATAGGCACTCGATTAGATCGGATTGAAGGTATCAATAACGATTGGCTTAATCATGGCCGGAGGATGGCGAATCAGTATGACCCCCCAGCCCCTCCAGCCTCCCCGCGACGATCAAAACGAAGACATTAGTTGATCATCCCTGCATCCCCCTATGTAACTCCTCCTTTCTTGAGACCCGCTCGCATTCTCATCAATTCCATCTTTCATTTAAAATCTGTCCTGCTTCCTTTTTTAAGCCATTCATTCTACGTGTACACAACCTGTCATCTTTTTCCCTCATGAAAATCTAATCTTGATGCTTGAATTTGCGATTTGATGGGTTGAACATGAGGCGCCATAATAAAAACTCATGGAAGCCTGCGGTGCGCTAAGAGCATCCGCATCGGTGCGCGGATTACCGCGCGGATTAAGGATCAAGTTAAACCTGGATTAGCACTAATCCAGGCCTTCAAGCACATCGGTCGGCACTAGACAAATGGACTCCGCCCTAATCCTTGCACTATACCCGTCAACCTCATCGGTAATCAACCTCAAACAACCATGCCGGACGAGCACGTTCCATTTCCAGAATCCGACTTTATCACAAGACAGAACATCAATCGGAGCCGCCTTTTAACCCAGAATCTCGTGGAGGACGACTTTGAAATCACGGCGTTTCTTGATTCTAGCGGCGATTCTGAGCCGGAAATCCTGCCACGATCAAAGAAGCGGAGGCCAAACAAGGAGCGAAGTCATATGGAAAATCATCGGAGGCTCATGGCTGATTATTCTAATGAAGACTCAACGTACGATGCTCGAGATTTTACTAGACGATTCCGGATGGAAAGACCCCTGTTCCTTCGTATCCTCAACGATCTCACCGCAAACTACCCATACTTTGTCCAGAAACCAGTAAGCCCATCTTCAAGATCAAAATTAATATGTGGAAATACTTTTTTTGTGACAGGACTGTACCGGTAAACTAGGCTTGAGTCCTCACCAGAAGATTACTGCAGCCATCCGACAGCTAGCCTATGCTGTTCCCCTCGATGCGACCGATGATTACTGCCGTCTTGGAGAGACGACTGCGCGCCAGAATCTCGAGCAGTTTTGCAAGGCAATCGAAGCGATTTATGGCCCAACGTATTTGCGACTCCCGAATCATGACGACCTGAAACAAATCCTTGAAGAGAATGCCAGTCGAGGCTTTCCAGGCTGCATTGGCAGCTTGGATTGCATGCACTGGGCATGGAAGAATTGTCCAACTGCCCTGGCTGGGCAGTATGAAGGAAAAGAAAAAACTCCAACACTGGTCCTCGAGGCAACAGCAACAAAAGATACCTGGATTTTGTCAGCGGCGGGTTACTCCGAGGTGACTAGAATCTGCTCGATGGAAGTTTACTGGTGTTGACCAGTGGCTCCAAGTCGTAGAAAGAATCTAATACGGTCCAAGGTGTTCACGCCCAGCCGTTGATAAGTTTTTGAGAATTTCAGGCTTGGATTTCCAGACAGGGATGCGATGATTTGAAGGGAACAGGCCAATTTGAAGTAGTGATGAGTCGATGTATCTCCAAATGGAAGAGGAATGATTTAAAATAAAAGGGTGTTATTATTTTTGTCTCTTCTGAAAGTCTGAGGAACAATAGACTTCAGTCCGTACAACTTTATATATCTGGCTTGGCAAGGCCAACTAGATACAAGCATATGTAGAGTATGTTAATAATGAAATGAGTGAAATGAATAAGAAAATGAGTGACATGAGTGTGAAATGTATGAAGTGCAGTTGGTGTAGCAAAATACTCAGTGGACTAGTTAAGGGGTAACTGTATTTTGCTTGCCAGCTGACATTTGCTACTACTAAAAAAACAGAAAAAAAATGATGAAGCTATCATTTGAGAAAAATTAATCAAAGTAAAAAAGTAACCAGAGATCCTTGAACCAATACCATCGGAGAGTGTCGGCCCCTTGTGAGATGTCTTCATGAAGTTCTTCTATTCTTGGGGGCTGTTGTCCTAAAGCACCTTTCCATGCAAATCCAACAAACTTAAATCTTCTGTTGCTTATAGTAGTCCCAAGTTCAGGTGTCTTGTATTCGTGAAGTGTAGCTCTTGAGGTACCTGCTTTCCATTCCCAAATACCAAGCACTTGTCTTTGAACTAAAATTTCTGAAGCCTGTTGTAAGTTTTCTATATCTGTCACTGTTGAAGTTTTAATGAATCGTTTCTCTTTGACTGATATCGGCAGGAGATCTAGCATAGCAGGGTCGTGCTTGAGGAGTGAGAATCTTCCACAGCGAAGTTGGAGGTTGTCATATGCAAAAACTTCGGGCACGATGTTTCCTGGTGTCCTTGTGACAGTAGAAATCTCAGCTGTAGCTTGGGAGTTGTTGCAGTTTTCTCCTTTGTCTTCAGTAGGCAAGTCGTTTGAGAGCTGGACTTGACGAGGCCGTTTAGGATGCAAGCGACGGGGTGTTGCGGAGCTTGTACTGGGAACGTTCTTTGGGTTCCTAGGTGGTGTAAGAGGCGCCTTCATTGACTTTGGCTCCACTTGTGGTTGGAGATCGGTCCTTGGCTGAAGAGATATAGACGATACACGTGAGTCTTGTCGACTAGTCAACGGAACTGTTGACTCTTTCAGTAGAAAGCTTGTCGTCGTCTTTGGTTTTGCTGAGGCTTTCGACTTTGTCAATGGTGAAACAGAGGCGATTGGATTGCATGAGCTTGTATCGGGAGTCTTCTTCAGGTTACTAGAAAGTGTCACCGACTCCTTCATTAACTTAAGTTCCACCGGTTTTCGGAAATTGGTCGTTGGCCGGAGCGATGTAGCTGAGAGGTGAGATTTGTTTGGACTATTCGACGGAACTGCTGGCGGCTTTAATGGCAAAGTAGGTGTTGGCTTTGGTTTTGTTGAGGTTTTCAACTTGGTCGCTGGTGAAACCGAGGCGATTGGATCACTCAAACTGTTTCTTGCAGTACGCTTCTTCTCAGGCTCGATATCTATGCTTGCAGCTTGTGAGACATCAATTATGTTGATGAGATGCCGCATCACTTTGAACGAACGGCTACGGATTGTTTGGGAATTCCCCTTCGTTCTTGAGCTAGATTTCTTCGGAAGTTTAACTGCCACGTGCGAGATTGTTTCCTTGCCCTCCACCGGCTTCTCTTTGGTTGTCGCAAGTTTGTGACTTGGTAGTTGAACATGAGATGAAAGGATTGTCGTCGTTCTGGTCTCAAGAATCTCAAGCTGAGTTCGCAAGCTAGCAAGTTCATCGACGAGTGCTGTAACTTCAGAGATAATAGGCATTGCAATCGAAATGGGTCGACCACAGTCTGTTCAGAGGGATAACCGGCAATGATCACTAACTTTTGGTCCAGAGATGATGTCCGATGAAAAGATGTGGAAAATATAAGAGATGGGAAGATGCAGAGAGATGGGAGAGATATTTGTCGTCCGGCTTGATGACCAAGAAACGACAAGGGATACCGAGATGATGGTGATTTATCTGTGTTAATCCGCAAGGTTGAACCAGACTTTATTCTTCTTAAAAAAAACTGGAAAAAAAAAAGATGAATCCTTGTAAAGCAAGGGTTCCGTCTGCACAGGGCTGTCCAGGTGTACAGGTATAAGGGGTGGTCGCCAATTGTCAGCGGCGGGTTACTCCGAGGTGACTAGAATCTGCTCGATGGAAGTTTACTGGTGTTGACCAGTGGCTCCAAGTCGTAGAAAGAATCTAATACGGTCCAAGGTGTTCACGCCCAGCCGTTGATAAGTTTTTGAGAATTTCAGGCTTGGATTTCCAGACAGGGATGCGATGATTTGAAGGGAACAGGCCAATTTGAAGTAGTGATGAGTCGATGTATCTCCAAATGGAAGAGGAATGATTTAAAATAAAAGGGTGTTATTATTTTTGTCTCTTCTGAAAGTCTGAGGAACAATAGACTTCAGTCCGTACAACTTTATATATCTGGCTTGGCAAGGCCAACTAGATACAAGCATATGTAGAGTATGTTAATAATGAAATGAGTGAAATGAATAAGAAAATGAGTGACATGAGTGTGAAATGTATGAAGTGCAGTTGGTGTAGCAAAATACTCAGTGGACTAGTTAAGGGGTAACTGTATTTTGCTTGCCAGCTGACAGATTTGGCATACATTTTTTGGGACGTCGGGATGTCTGAACGATAAGAATGTGGTGGACCAATCACCTCTTTTCTATCCGATCATCTCAGGAACCGGCTGGGGTGTAGAGTTCGAGTTAGAAGGCAATCGTTACAAATACCCCTATTATCTCGTCGACGGGATCTACTATCCGTGGTCGACTCTTATCCAATCTAAATGCTTGGCTGCATCCGATGATAAGCCAACTAAATATTTTATCAAGCGGCAGGAAGGATTCCGAAAGGATATCGAGCGCACATTCGGAATCTTACAAGGCCAGTTCCAAATCATCACGAAACCGGCCATGAATTGGTACCCAGGCGACATGTGATCGATCATGATGACTTGTATTATCCTACACAACATGATAGTTGAATACCGTACCAATCGCAAGAAGCAAGCTCCTCTTCTTCCTCTCCCCCCGTCTACGAAACTCATTCCTCCTCGATCAGAGCCATACAGCCTCAGAGAACAACGGATCCGAGATGTAGAGATGCGATCAGCTCAAGTTCATGATAACTTGACAAAGGATTTGATAAATTTCTTGTGGCACAAGAGTGGAAACGAGGATTCAATTTTTTACAACAATGATTCTTCTGATTCCCTAAGCGATTAATTTTTTTTTTCTCGCTCATCATCCATCATAAATTTTTCCCGCCTTTTTTGCTCAAAACCTGTTGTCTCTGAGTTCGCTCGTGCCCATCCTTTTTCAAGCATTTCTATTATTTGTGGATTTGAATCGCTTGCTATCTTTCTTTACACATGCAATAACTAAAATGTGATGATTAAATAAGCTCATTTGCATGTCTTAATAAAAAACCTGATTTGCAGTTAAGCAATCGTTTTTGGTTAAGTGAAAAAGAGATCGATTGCAGTTCAGCGATTGTTTTCAGTTCAACAATTTAAAAGAAATGAAATAATTTGCGTGTCTCAAAGATAATAAAGAAGAAGAATCAAAAACATCGATCACTTGCAGTTAAGTGATTGTTTTTAGTTAAGCAAACAGTCAGAGATTGCATTTCTTAACAAGCATAAAAAAAAGAAAAAAATCTTCCATTTTCTAGAAAATGGGTTACACATAGATCAATGAAAAAAAAGATTGAAGAAAAAAATCAAAATAAAGTAGGATCGACAGCGGCATCTAAAGCCTCAAGGGATTGAGTTTGAAGGGGGTCACACTCGTCATAATCATCGACCTCGTCATCGGGAATGTCTTCATCCTCCTGGCGGTCATAAGGGGACATCGCATTGTCCGGTTCGCTAGTCCCAAACTGTGTTGAACGATCCGTCGGAGCATGAGAGGATTGATCTGCTGGACGTTCGGATGATAGAGAAGGTGAATTGAAGGAGGGATCCATCCACTTCTGGAATATTTTTTCTTTTTGAGCGAGTAGGAATCTACGAGAGATGTCATCGGGGCAGTTGGCTGGGTTTTGGAACATGAGGTTCACATCGATCTTCTTCTGTTCACCAGCGACAAGCTCCGCTTGAATGTCGTTCGATCGTTTGGCTTCAGCAGATCGCTTGACCGACTCCTTATGAGTTGCCTCCATGAGCTTAATTTTTTTTCTCTTATATTCTTCCTCGTTTGCATGTTGCTTTGCCGCATGAGCACCTGTTGGTCTCTCCCAGTCCTTGGACCTTGAACCGGCATTGCTCGCCGCATCAGTGGCATCAGGAGGTGATGGAGTTACTGGGACTTGAGGGGTTTGGCTTTGAGTCGATGGTGGAGCACCATTTTTCGCTCGGCCAGCCAAAGTTTTGAACTTTTCGACGTGTCGGAGAAGGTTCCACGCTCGATCCGACATAAAGTGCTTTCCGACTTGTTCGTAGTAAATCTGTTTGGCACTAGTGAGCCAATCTTCAGGGGATGAGCCCGAGGGTGGATTCTGCTCAATCCGATTGTGTATGGCTGTGAACTTGAGGCAGCCATTCTGCAACAATTTCCATCTAAATTTTGGGGTATAAGAGCAATGAATGAGTTAGTGAGTCAATATCGAAGAGGAACCAATAAATAGTACATACCTTGCAGATAAACGGTCATCATCTCGCTGAGGGCCACCGGTAAATTTATTGTAATCCTCGGCGACTCGAGACCAGAAAACCTCTTTTGTCTGGTCGTTTGACCGGATTGGATCAGTTGTGACAACAGTCCAACTCTTGGCCAGCTGTTTGTCCTCTTCTGGGGAGAAGTTCGGCAGGCGTTTCTTGTGGGTGCTTGGGTCAGACGTAGGTTCGGTGGGGTTGGTTGGGTTTGTATTGGTCGGTTGAGTAGCTTGGTTGGTCGCTTGGGAAGCTGTGTTGGTCTGTTGAGTTTCTTGGTTGGTTGCTTGGGAAGGTGTGTTGGTCGGTCGGGAAGCATTATTGCTTCTTTGGTTGTTTGATCGTCTGGGCGGCATACTTGTGGAGTTGTGGAGAGGTGATGTTGGAGGTGATGTTGAATCAGCAAGTGTTAATCTTGCCAAGTCCAAGGCTAGCTGAAGGGTGCCTGATCCTGGGACTAGTGGGGTATAAGTTTGATACCCGCTAGCTCCAAACGTGATCCTGGAGCTAGTTTAGTCCGATCTAATCCCACCCGGTGCGGTTGGAGGGATTAGATTAGCTGGCTAATCCTGCCTAATCCGCGCACCGATGCGGATGCTCTAACAGTTTTCACAAGATCCACTGAGCTTTTCCGCTCTTGTTAGCTTTGCAAATGCATTTTGCTGGGTCTTGAAATCATCACCAGAGACTGAGTCTTCCTTGCCTTCATTTGTAAAACGTTTTGCGTGCTGGACTCTGGATACCCTCATATGTTGCTACCCTTACATCTCCCGAGTCCGACCCTTACATCGACTCCCCCTACCTTTAAATCTTGCTACACCTCGCTAACCTCTGAACCTCTATACATCAATGCTGTTGTCGCTGCTTTTTCCGCATGCTTTCTTTACTTGCTTGTGAGTTGATTGCTAATTGTTTTTTTTTTCTTCGTTCATCACATTGGCATGCCTTGTATTTCAAGCTCATGTTTTCCGAGTGTGGCTGAGAAGAACGGTAAAGCAAAAATATGTACACGAGAAGGGACATCCCCTCTACACTATCAGTAAAGTACCTCATCGCTTCTTCATCATCACTAACCAGCGCGGTGACGTACTGCTACACCCAAACGATGATGTGATCTTTTTCTACCC